AAGTGCCTTTGTTTTTGTGACAACCAGCGACGTAAAGTTTCACCCCGATCTCTTTCCCAACCCTCTACGCGATGTACATGAAATGGCGAGGCATGATGCCGCTTGCATGGATGAGTTGGCGGCGGAGGTGGCGAATGAGCCGAGCGAGTACAGTCCTGTTTTGCGACGGGGCTTGAGGGTGCTGCGCTCCACGGTGAAGGATAGCCGATTGTCGACGTCTGCGCTGCTGCCTGACCGCATCCGTTATGCCTCTGTGAAGGAGCGTGAAAAGGCGTTTTCGAAGCATTACGGGCGCTTCTGCGCATATTGCAAAAGCACTTGTTTTACATCTGTTATGTTGACACGCCTGGCGATCAGCACGGTGGGATATTTTGACGAGAACTTCTACCCAGCTTGCGTGGAGGATGTCGACTACAGCTTACGCCTCCGTTTGCTTGGATTTCAGGAGCGAAATGTCTTCTACGGCAAATTCGTGCATCGCGGCAGCTCGAGTATTCGTCTCTCTAATGAAGTGGAGCCACCGGACGCTCTCTGGTACCGTCGCGTCAAGTCTTTGAGTGCGAACGATGCATATGCCATGATGAAGTGGAACCGTCCACGGGCGTGCAGTGGCGGGTACAAGGAGCCATATGACGGCATGGTCCCCGCAGACGTTTGGGTGAAGGATGAGGGACGCATACAGCGCATTCGGGCCTACGGGCATGATGAGGAGCAAGGGGTCCCAAGGGTTGAGTACGACAGGACACTTTTGTACCCTGTAAGGACGAAGGGAAGATGAACTGGCGCCAGTCGCATGTTTCTTGTTTTTATTATTTTATTTTGTTTTTCACTTTAATTATTAAAAGTTTTTTTTTCCTTTTTATATTTACACAAATGATATTTAAGCGAGTACGCCATGGGTTTTAAAGAGCGCAAAAACATATATTTGGCATGACAGGGGGAGGGTGCAGCGTCCAAACCTGGCAGTGTTGTCGGAGGTAGGAGATGGCGGCCGCAAGCAGTAAAAGTGAAGATGATGAATGAGAGAGAAATAAAAGGGGAGAGAAGCAGAAAATAAGCCGAAAATATTGTGAGCACAACGCTGTTTCTCACCGTGGGCGATCGACACCGCAATTGGCTGCTAAGTTACCCACTGAGGGTGACACCCGTTTCCGCTGAATATGCTGCGTGCATATCTGTCGGGCTCTTTGTTTATTCTTTTGGTTTGTTTGTTTCCCGCACTTTTATTTCTCCGTGCCGCCTGACCCACTCGTTTATTATTTCCCTCTCTGTTTTTGTGCGTGCACCGAGAGAAGGGCTCGGGGACATGAAGTACGCCCCCCTTCTGTGACATGCCACCAAAAGCAGAAGGAGAAAAAAAAAGAAAGGTGAAGCGGGGAGGGGAACCATCGCCACGCGTTGTTTTCTCCGAGAAGGCTGCTCGCCACGCCACTGAGGCGCGCCGTGTGCTTCGCGAGGCCCGCTGGACTCGATTGGGGAGCCGTGAATGATGGTGCGTGAGAGTGTGGTGGATGCATCTCCCAGGCGTCCCTAGAGGACCCTCTGGCCATTGGGACTGCGTGGAATGCGGGATTCTGCGGGGATATTTGGCCGTTTTGTTTTTATTCCTCCATCCGCCCATCCCAAACCTCAACACGGCGGCTGAGCCAACGACTGCGACGGGATCCTTTGCGTATTTCCGAATCTCTCTTGCGTTTCAGCGGCAGGCCTGGTGTGTCCTGCTTGGTAGACACGGTGGACGGAAGTGGGCTGCCTTATCGGGAAAGCGATGGTCACGGCGGAGCGTGTTGCGTACGTCGCAATTTGGCGTGTTTGTGGCGAGTCTTGCGGATGGTGTGACGGCGCCTCTTTTACTTGCGGGGAGAGAAGCGATGCTCCACGGTGGTGCTCACTTTGCGTGTGGAGGCTTCTATTGCTGTTGGTTTGTGAATGTTTATTTTTTGCTTGAACACCACAGAGGGCGGTGTCTGCGGACAGCAGAGCATTGCGAGGAGGGGCATCGCACGATTTTTGGCGCGATGAGGCGGCTTTTGTGAATTCACGGTGTTTATTTTTAGGATTGAGAGAATATCATTTCTTGAAATGTATTGTTGGAGACCATCCGCGTGTTTTTTTTTCTTTAATCCCTTGACATTTGGTGTCTGCCGTGAAACAGATGTTGATGGCCGTTTTATGGCGGCGAGATGCATTTTTATTTGTTTTGTTGGCGAGTGTGTGAATTGTGTTGCGTTCTGCCATGCGGCTTGTTGCTGACGGCAAGTGGCCGCAGGGAGACGTTGTGGGCGCCTCCGACACAAGGTGCGATTGAGCAGTCATCTCCTCCGCTCGCTGGTACACGCTGTTGAGGCGGCGTGATGATAATGAATCGGCCTCTCAGAAAAGCAACAAGAGGACGTCTGCTCTTCCTACTGCGGTGTACAGGTGGACTCTCCAATCCGTGGGCGGGGTTGCCCTGCGTGCCGTATTTCTTTGAATCTTGATGAGTTTTGTACATCGCCATCCACACGCACATGCACACAATCTCCCTGTTTGCCCTCCTGTGGGCGGGAGACCGGGATGCAAGGGGAAAATGTGGCCCGTGCCAGCACGTGGCAAATTCTTTCTTGGGAGGGATTGCGACTGTGATGTACGTCCTGGCAGGCAGGAATGGGATGAGAGAAGAGCGGAGGGCGAGTAACAACGATTCTGTGCGGGGCAATGCGCAGTGAATGGGGCGAAGTGGTATTTATGTTGGGTTTTAAAACATTTTTGTCTTTTTCTTTTGTGGCAATGGAAAGAAACTTTGGGTGGTGTGTTGTGGATTATTTGCACATGATTCAGAGCGGCAACACCATTTGCGGGGAAAATGAATGGCATCTGCGTGAGGCTTGTTTTTTGAGCGCGAGATGGTCGGGGAGGTGTTCAACGCCCCGAGAGGCCAGGAGCAAAGAGGCGTGCACTGCTGCAAGCAGAGGGATGCACGCTCCTGTTGGTGGCGTTGCTGTGGAGCCCTGAAGGGCCTGCAGGGAAGTTGTTTTTTCGCCGCCTCATTATTTTGTTGATTGGTGCTTGCCGAGGTCTTTTGAGGCGGGACGTGGGATGCACCGAGAGAGCGAGTGTCGTGTGGCGGTGCTGTGAATTGGTGCCGCCCACGTTTGTGCACATATTTCCGTTTGTGTCCGCGTCGTTGCCGCGGCAGTGCACCGGGAGCGTGTGACTGATCACTGTATCACTTGTGGACTGTTTTGGCAGGACTTTGAATGGCGTTGCCGAATAATAAAACTCCGCTTGCATGTGTGTGCGTGTGTGTTGTCTTCCTCCGTGACTAGCCGTGTTGTTGTTTTTGTTTTCTGTGTGCGATTGCTCTCCGTGATGTCCCTTACGAATTCTATTTTTTTCCGCACCTTGCGTGAGTGATGTGCTCTGCTCCCCACGGACGTGTCTGATGTATTGCCGCTGTTGCTGCTGTACTCTCCACTTCTTGAACACAGACACGCTAGGAAAACAAGCGCTAATCGCCACTGTGAAATTCGAAGGCACTGAAAGGACCAACAACAGCACACACATTGCCCACGCACACACATATTTGTATGCTCTCCCGTGTTGCTGCAGTGAAGGCACCCCGCACACACAACCGTCGCCGTGTGACCGGATCCAGCGGGAGGAGGAGGGAAGGAAGAGAGAGTGAGCCGCGGAGGCCCAACATGTCACGGCGTGCGTTTGCTTTTGCGGTGCTGCTCCTTCTCGTCGTGATGATGTGCTGCAGCAGTGGAGTTGCGCACGCTGAGCAGGCAGTGGCCGCTGTTGATCCTTTTACAGGGACGTCGTCGGTATCATTTGCTAATTGGAAGGAGTTTGACGAAGCCAGCAGGGAAATCACCTCGCTCCGTGTTCCTGGCCTCGTCAAAGTGGGTGATGATGTATTTGCCGTGGCTGAAGCGCAGTGCGGGGAAAGGAATAGAGCCGGCAGCTATGCTGGGATTGTGTCAAAGCACCTGAATATAAGTGATGACTCAATGGATATTTCGACGTCGGCTGCAAGTTTGTTTTGCATGCAACTTGTGGACACCGCCGCGAATAATTTTGGGGCAACGGAATTGTTGCGACCGACGACAGTTGTAATTGAGGACAGTGTCTACATGCTCCTGGGAAACTACGGCCATACAAAGCAGCAGGTTGAAGGTACGAATGAGCGGGGCCTTTTACTCGTGAAGGGAACTGTCGCTGAAGATGATGGAAAGAAGAAAATCAGATGGAATGAGACTCATGTGATGAACCCTCAAGCCATAGGATATTCTGGTTCCTTGACCGAGTTAATTGGCGGTGGAGGATCGGGTGCTGTGATGCGTGACGGCACGCTTGTGTTTCCTATGCAGGCCAAAAACAGTGATGAGGAGCGTGTTTTACTGTCTATGCGTTTTAACCCGTCAGACAAAAAATGGAAGCTTTCATCCGAGACGCCTGGTAAGGGCTGCAGGGATCCAACCCTGGTGAAGTGGAAAGAAGGAAAAGACGACGAAAGACTCCTCATGATGGCTCATTGTGCTGGAGGCTACTATGACGTTTACATGTCCACTAGGAGTGGGGTGGGTTGGTATACGTTGGGTGAGCCAATTAACCGCGTGTGGGGCAACTCACGTAATCGAAAGGGGTACGGCGTCCAGAGTGGATCCACCACCGCAATCATTGAGGAAAAGGAGGTGATGCTCATCACTGCGCCGGTGTATGCGAAGGACGACAATGAAGGTGGAAATGGTCGGCTCCATCTTTGGGTGACGGACAATGCGCGTGTGCATGATGTTGGGCCGGTATCCCGTGAAAATGATGACGCTGCCGCCAGCTCGCTGTTGATGAAGAGTGGGAAGAATAATAATGAGGAGTTGATTTCACTGTACGAGAACAAGAATAGCGACGGAAAGTACAATCTTGTTGCTGTGCGTCTGACCGAGAAACTGGAGCGGATAAAGAAAGTGGTGAAGACATGGAAGGATTTGGACAGCGCCTTGCAATCATGCAGTTCCGTTTCCAGCGGCACTTTTGACTTGCCAACGAAGGGTATGTGCAATGGTACTGTTCCCACCAAGGGGCTTGTTGGCTTTTTGTCCGGTAACGCAACTCAGACCGAGTGGAGTGACGAGTACCTCGGCGTGAACGCAACAGTGAAGAATGGAGAGAGAAGGGTTCTCAATGGACTGACGTTCAAAGGGTCTGGAGCATGGGCGGTGTGGCCTGTTGGCGACATGGGGCAGAATGTGCCGTACTACTTTGCGAACAACGAGTTCACTCTTGTGGCGACGGTGTCCATCCACGAGGTGCCGCAGAGTGGCAGCCCCATTCCTTTGATTGGCGTGAGGATGAATGACACCAGCAGCACGGTCCTCTTTGGTCTGTCGTACACCCACGAAAAGAAGTGGCTGGCCATACCGGGGAATAGTGCTACTGCGAAGCGTGTTTATGTGTGGGAGCCAAACAGGACGTATCAGGTGGTACTGCGAATGGATTCTGATGAATGGAGTGTCTTTGTGGATGGAAAGGAAATCCGCCAAAAGAGATATAATACTAATCTGTTTAACTCGCACAGGATTTCACACTTCTACATCGGTGGGGACAGTAAGAACCAAAGTGCAACGGGCGGCCATGTGACGGTGACTAACGTCATGCTGTACAATGAGGAACTGTGGAGAAATGATGATCTGGATGAACTCAAAGCCAGCAAAGTCAATATTCCATCACTGGGTGTTGAGGAACAACCCACAGGACAGGTGGCCAGCACAGACCTCCCGGTTGCTTCCGAGTCAAAGAGTGAAGAAAGCGCCATCTATGAGGAATTGACTGAGGATGATACTGATAAACGAGAGGAAGAAATCGTTCATGATCCGGTGCCTGCAACGCCCCCTTCCACGGTTGTTGCGGGATCCTCTATTTCTGAGCCCGCCATTGCAGCGGAGAGCGCAGAGAACTTTCATCAAGGGAACAATGTTCAGCTTTCCGAAGGCAAAACGTCTCGGCAAGCCACGCTGCATGAAGACAATAATGCGATGAAGCAGGATTCAGATGTGCAGCCACAAGACCCACAGTCAGCGGAATTAATGGAGGATACCGATTTTGAAATGTTCTCTGAAAGTAATGATACACAACAGCCAGAGGAGGATGAAGAGGCGGATGACAGGAGTGGCGAAACAACGTCTCCAGTAGCTGCGTCGTTGAGTATGGAAACGGCCGCCGGACCAATGGACGGTGAGCACCAAGTGCAACAAAGCATTGACCTTCCCGCTGAAAACGACGACGTGCGGTCCACTGGAACCGGAACCACTGGCGCGGAGGAAAGCCTCAGCCTCGAGGCGGGCGACGGAAATTCCGAGAGAACAATGAACTCAGACAGCAGCTCCACTCCTTCAAAGAGGGACGCCGAACCGACATCCGCGGAGGACACCGAAGACGTCCCTTGGACTGAAAGGGCTGAATTTCTTGTTGAAAACGGCGAGGAGGTGCCACAGACGGTTGAAACCGCATCGGGTAAGACAAGCACAGCGCCTGGGGAAACCGAGATCCCATCGGAGTCCAACGCAACAACACCCTCGGACACTGAAATTTTGCTTGACAACGGGCATTTGGGCGAGTTGGCGGCCATGTATCTAATTGGTGACAGCACCGTGCAAGTGTGTGTGTCTCGGGTGTTGTTGCTGCTGCTTCTGGGGCTGTGGGGCACTGCGGCTCTCTGTTGAATGAATTGGGGAGAGCAAAGTTGCGAAATTCTGTGGAGCAACAAAGGAGCGGCATCCCAGCATTACCCACTGAATTTTTTAAATTCCACTTCCTTTTTTTTTTCCTTTTTTTTTTTCTTGTTCTTGTTATTGCTTTAATTATTTCCCTTATCTTGCTTGTTGCTTTAGGGCAATCACTATGGACGTTGTTTTTTATTATTATTTTTAATGGTTTAATTTGTTTAAATTTTTAAATTTTATTTTTCATCCCCCATCCCTTCTTTCCTTTTGCTTTTGGGGGCAATCACTATGGACGTTGTTTTTTCTTTTCTACTCTTCCCTCTTTTAATTGTTTCGTGCTGCACTCTTCCTGTGAGGGGTGCCGTGCGTTTCCCGCCCAACTGCTCCACTCGCACACCCACCGACACGCTCATGACGACGGCCCTGTGCGCCTCGCCCGCTGCACGCATGAGGAGGGGCCGCGACGAACGGCGCGCTGAGGGAGCCGTGACGTGTGGGCGTGCGACGAGTGCCGGTGGGGCGGAGCACACATTTATTTCCCTCTTGTTTTGTTTTGTTTGCGGCCAGGGCGGGCAGACACCCGCAGCGCCACACACACACAGCCACACCCTGCCGCTTTAAAAAAAGGATTTTGTTTGCTTTGCGTGTTTATTTCTTGCGCTGGCGCACCCTTCGGGGTCGGCCTCGTGAGCATTTCTTTCCCCCCTGATGATTTTTTTTTTGCTGCGCTCACTCTCCCGATGGAGAGACGCGACTCCCGTCATGTCTGCGTGCTTCTCTCAGTCCCCACACACACGAGTGACTGTGCTCTGCGGGCCGCACTCACGCGCCGATGAGAGGGCTGAGGGGAGCACCAACACGCAGATGGCCCCATGAAATATAAACGATGTGCGGACACACATGGAGGGCCAGACGGTTGAAAGACATTTAAATATTTAATTTTCTTTTCGGACAAAATATGCAGACAGTTTCTGGAACAACATGGTAGTTAGGTGGAGTTTTGTGTTTTTTTCTTTTTCTTTTTATTATTATTTGGGTATAGCTGTAATAGAGGACGACATTTTTCTTTTCTTTTTTTCATTTTCATTTCTTTTTTTCTTTTCCTTTTTTTTTCATTTTTTTTCTTTTTTTCGAATTGTGAGGTGTGGAAGGGTGAAGATGAATTTTTTCTAAATTTTAATAAAAATTTATGAATTGCCGCTGCTTTGTCTGCAGTGCAATATCATGAGTTTGAGCAGTCTTTTTCTCTTTATTTCCGCCATGCGCTTCTGCTGTACTGTTTTTTTTTGTGCGTCCCTTCACATGGTCTGCTCCTGCTTTTACTTCTTTGCTTCGTGTGTCTGCAGGCACACACAACGACACAAAATGCACATTGCAGTGGGTTTTGGATGCTTCTTTTGTAGCGTGTGCTGGCGGTTGCGGGTGGCTGCTGCTTCCTCCGTGGGTATGAAGGGAAGGAGGAGAGAGGGAGCGCGCACCGCGAGTCACTCTTCCTGCGGGTGTGATGCGCGCGGTGGGCTGCGACTGCTGTGGAGGGCGGCATCCTTTCGGTGTGCGCTTCTCCGCCGTTGTGCCGTGCGTTTGCGCATGTCATTTGTTATGCGCGTGCGTGCTGGGCATGTTTTTCCGGAGCGTTGGGCGGCCACCATCTGTCTATGGCGGTTTACGTGGATAAGCACGTGCGGATG